TATTGTTTTTGGTTTATTCAGATTCGATAGAGTCTCGTTTGCAGAAATTAATTACTACAGCCTCATCTACTGTGCTCACAAACATAACTTTCGATACATTAGATGAACTTGATAATGCCGAGGTTAGTCTCATCTTCTTATTTGTGGACTTCAGAACCTGTTTGCATCATATTGCTCATATCTAATTATATAGGCTCCCCACTATAGACTGTTTTTTATGGTATGCTTCGAAACTTAAAAAAAATGAGTTCATATCTTTTTCTATTCTTTAGTTATGTAACTTATTCCTGCTTATTACATCTATATATGTATGCTTTGATATCAAGTTGTGGAAAGGCCAAAGGGTTATATTTGGTCTCAAATAACGTCTTTATCACTGTATATCTCAGACATTCAGTATACTAGAACATGGAGTTCTGTTCCTTTAATTGAAATATAGAGATAAAAGGGATAATGAAACTGATAAGTTTGGCAATAATGTTCTGAACTGATTCATTCATGCTCAACTATGGAATAGTATAACAAAGGAAAGTATGCATTTGGTGTATCAATGAATTGAAACTTTGTCACATTCTTGAGTCCAGTCCAGAGTTTGACACTCATTTCTAAAATTATAAGCATTATAGCTTTAACATTGCTTTATGTACCTGAGTTAGACTAATTTGGTGTTAGACTTGTTTATATCTCCCAAAGGTCCAGTTATGCATGTCTTTGATACTATTGTATTTGATAGGTCAGGTGCTGTAATATCAGGGTAAAAGCTCTTTTATTTAATCTCTTCTGCTAACATTTACACTAAATGAGCTAGTTTGATAGCTGCAAATTTGTTGGACTAGCTGTAAGATGTCATGTTTTTTATGTCCTAGTTGATAACATGCTTATTAGTCTACTGAATGCCATTGCATTGGTTTGCAATCAAAATATCAGGTGCACCCAATAAATGTTCCAGATCTTTCATCACAAAGCCCATTGACAATATCAGGAAGATACAGTGGGAAGTTTCCTGAAGTTTTCAAAGCAAGAGGCATTATTGCTGACATGACATGCTATGAGTTGGATCTGAAGGTTTACAAGTCAAAGGCAATCCCTCTTGATAAAGTAAGATGTCATCCCTGTTTTATTTCTCTGGATTTTGAGTCTGTTGGAGGTTTTGCGTTGCCATTTTTTGTACATGTCATATGTGTCAATTAGCATTGTGGGATTGTTGGAACCTGGCTAACCATTAATGCACCTTAGATGATATATCTGTTTGATATTTCATTGAATACTTACTGCTAACCATTAATGCACCTATATCTGTTGCCTTTAAAACTAAAAACAGTTCAAGGATGGAAACCTCATAAACTGAAATATTGCTCCACTTTTTCATCTTGAGTCTTGACATCATTGTTAGTCCACCATTGTGAGATCTGCTCATCTCCATGCTGATAGCATTTCTATTCTAAATTTGAAAATAAAGCAACACAATTTTATCATTAATCTATTATGTTTAATTTAGAATAATTACGTAAAGAACAACTTATCTAGTTTGGTATTAAATGACATTCCCCAGATGATAAGTATGAAGCATTTAAGTTATACTATAAGACCCCTTTGTTCTGAGGCACCAAACCATTTCATGAAAAAAAAGTATACTAGTATAGTAGCTATTGTCAATCGTAGAATAAGTGCACGCGCGTTTTGTGTCTCTATAGTTTATACTTCTGACAAAATGAACTAGCATTGCATACATTTTTAACTTTTTTTTTTGGCTGATTGTTCTATGAAACAGATATTGGCCTTGCAGCAAATTACCATGTGCACATCTGAAGCATGGTTTCTGGAGGATAAGCAACTTGAGACAAAGGTACCTTACTTTATCTTTGGTGCTTTTTGAAGTACGTCTCCTGGACACTTTGTATATTCTACTAAGTATATATATTATGTTATTGCAAGTGCATTTTTGTTGTTTTGTCAAAATAAAGTGCATTTTTGTCTATCTAGCACACTCATATATATGAATACTTTTATATCTAAATACATGTATTGATGTATGTATAAATATGCATACCCCCTCCCCTGCCATGTGATGTGCATGTGTTGTGAAAATGCAAGAACGCAAACAGAGGGAGTAATTTGCAATATCATAAGACAGAAAAATTAACGTACTCTTTAAACTGGGTCCAATAACGTGCTCTTTCAACACACACAAAAAAGCGTGCACTGCTAGTAGGTATGCACCGTTTGGTCAGTACCGGAATGGATTGGACCCTGACACGGATAGGACCAAGGGCCCAGTCTCTGGTCCTTGAAAATCCTTGATTCCGGTTTTCTATACCTGGAAAAATCCAGTCCAGAACAGGGACCTTAAAAATATTTTTTGAGTGGAAGTCTGTGTTGAAATCTTATTTGTATGATTTATTCTTTTTATTAGTGAAAATAATGTACTTGTGCACTGTGATTAGAACATTTGAAATGCTACTAACAATCTTGTGGAAAAGAAATTGCAAATATTATTTATTTTAGAAATGTAAAATCATGGAACATGCAAATATTATTTATTTTGGATCTCTTTTTTTTTTTACAAATATTCTGGCTATGCATAGACTTGTATTTTTAGAGAGACGAGTATGTAGATAATAATTTTTAAGTACAGGAAAATAATGCTTTGTAAGTATTGTAACAAATATTGCTCTGTTAACATAAATTTCAAACTCAAAAAAGACAAATATGAAAATTTTACATGTAATTTATGAACAATAAAAGTTGAAATTCTTAATTATTCATCAGAACAGATCTATCATCAGAAACCAGAGTCGTTACAATTCTATAAACATTCACTGGAGATATTAAACCAACTAATCCTATGTAAATTGCTCAAGGTTGGCTAAATGGTGAGTTTGCTCAAGAGGGTAATAAGATATCTTGGAAAGTAATTGATGGAATTCAAGAAAGCAGAGGGAAAATATGGTTTGCTACTCTAGAGAGATAAATGGGGAGGATAAAAGAACTTGATTTGGGTTTGAATTCAAAAAAATTTAACAACACTTGATAAAACATGAACTTTTAATTGGCCATTTACTGTTAGTATTACATTGCTATGTTTTAGTTCACTTTATTGTTGTTTATCTCATCTGAACTTATTTTTTCCTGCTTTGATATGATTGCTTGATTTGACTAACTTTGACCTTTATATGCACGCTAATCCATAAGGAAAAATTATATTAAATGAGGTTCCATTAGATCTGTATAAATTTGTATTTTCCAAGTACGTATTTTTCGTAATTTTATTAATTACAAATTTAAAGATATTTGACAATAAAAAATTGAAAGTTATATGATGAATGATCAATTTTTTTTTTTTGTTTTTTTTTTTTAAAAATATGATCTAAAATAAGTAATTAAACCCACATGCAAAGAGAGTTTTGCATAAACCATGGTGATGAGATATTCAAACAATGATGCTGTGAAGATTGTGAACTCTTTGATGCTGTATGAACTGGATCTGTTTATATAGAAGGCCTTGGAAGATCATATTAGTCCTTTGGTAGCATCTGTACAGCAGTTTATTACTACAATGCTTAAATTACTCATACTTTATAGCAGTTTGTAATTTACACTAATTATTGTCTGCAATTGTTCTTTGATTGGCAGGTTGTAAAACTGAGCATTCAAAATGGCATTGTCTCAGAATATACATCCATGGCCATATTCATGACCGAGACCCTGAATAAAGAGGTAGAAGTAATTGCAAAGCAGGTATTGTTGAGACATCACTTAGTCACTTACTATATTATCAATCACTTATAAACTTGTTAATCCTGGTATTATGGCATTGTCTCAAACTCTCAAGAACCTTGAATTCCTGCTCCATGTCCACCCTCCAAAGTATTGTTGGAATCTTGACTGAGCACCTGGTAGTGCTGAGGCAGTTAGCAGAAAAGAGAAAACCATTTTGAATGCTGCATTAGTTTGTAGACCCAATACCCTTACCTCTTGTAACATCAGAGATTTGGGGTATGTGGCACAACCTTTTTTTTGGGTTAAAAACCCGTAACCAAGAAGGAAAAGTGTTAGATCTACATATTGTTTGTCCAATGACTTTTGATCTCACATCTCAGGGCCTCGGGCATTCCTCATAATACTTGAAATTACATATCAGTTCAAGGATTTTGTAATAGATTGGGATCTTAATAATATTAAGGTGTTTTTCAATGTTTAAATGTTGAGGGTGTGGGCTAGCATTTATGTTGTAGGTTTGTGATTTATACTTATAGTAGTGTGTTTGTTTGTGAGCAGAAGAAAACACCGAGCAAAGGAGAAGCAGAAAAGACAGACCCTGAGCCCAAGAGACTAAAAGTGTTGAGAAATATTGGCATTGGGTTCGGAAATAAGAAGGCAACCGCTGAAAATATCCCTCCAGGTTTTAAAGAACCAAAAATGCCAGAACCAGCTGAAGTGTTCGCAAGGGCAGCCTCAGATTGCTGCACAACGATGTGTGGATACTGCTGTTGTATGTGCTGTGTACAGGCATGTTCGAAGGTCAATAACCAATGTGCAATTGTTTTCACTCAGCTTTTCACATCCCTCGCTTGTTTCGGCTGCATTGCATGCTGTACAGAAATATGCTGCTCAGGAAACAATAACTAAATATTACAGACCGTACAGTTCATGGTATTCTCACTTCAATTATGTCTATACTTTTTAGGGACTTGTGTTATAGGTTAGATTCTTACTGTAAATTACCTTTTCATTTTTAGTTGAGATTTTGTGAGTAAATAAGTATCACTTATATGAGAATAGCTGACTTATTCAATTTATGCAACTTTCATTAGCAAAAACATTGTATACAGCAGAAATGCTATCTATTGTTAATGATCAATAGAAATATTCCAAATTCAAATTTTGATAATTTCCTCTGATTCTGTATTTAATCCTTGTTTACAGCAGAACTGTATTATTTTTTTTTTTTTGTTTTCCCCCCCTCTCAATTTTTAAAATAAACCTTGCTAAGCATACGTAACCATCTTATATCAATTTGTGATTTATCTTGAATGAACTGTACTGTAATTAAACTTGTGATAGTTTTCTCGATTATGCACTAAAATGGATGAGACCTATATCAATTGTAATTTGTCCTTGAATGAACTGTAATATAACTTGTGATGCTTTTCTCAATTGTGCACTAGCTAATTGGATGAGATAACTTCGTAAATTCTTGGGTGTTTTATACTCCATACGTAAGATCAAATCATTTCAAATTGTGTCACTGTCCTTTACAACAAAAATCATTACTCCATTGATCGTAATATTAAATACACTCTGATGTGTGCAACTTAATCATGATTTGATTAAAATGACTAATATATTGGTACATTGGCTCATGTTCATAAATTAAAAATTTCTAGTACAAAATTACCTACATAATGTACTACCTACTACGTATTACATTTACGCACCAAATAAAATCTGTAACATTAAAAAAAAAAAAAAAAAAAAAAAAAAAAAAAAAAAAAAAAAATCTGCTACAGCTCCCTAGTGAACCATACCTAAAAAGGAAGACGAAAAAATAGAAATAAGTATGTATCAAGAAGTTCCATTTACAGTTTTGGTGACCTTCATCTTTTCGGATGTTACTTGAGACTTGTGAACTCCTTGTTGATCATCCTCAACACGTTCCTCGATCTCCACATCAGACTCTTTCTTGTCCTCAGAACCAACTGTTATCTGGTGAAAGCTTTCCTGGATTTTCGTTACACCCTTCTCGACAGGCTCTATTGCCTGGTTTATTGTCAGCTTTACATCCTCAACCACCTGCCATGTACTCATTCAGTAGTGCAAATATTGAAGCATTACATTTTAACTATAAAATGCCCATTTCTGGGTGTCGAAACCATTCAATAACTAGTAGTCCAGTATATGTTTATACCTGCTGACCACCCTCACGGAAAATGTCTTGCACACTCTCACTGATGCTTGTTCCAGGAGCTTTGACCTCAGTTTCTGTCTTCTCAATCATAGTTGGTCCTTTGTCCTTTCCTTTTTCTATGTCAACGACTGTTTTCTCAGTTCGGGTGCTAATTTTTCCATACTCGGAAATTGGTATGAAATGATAGGCCTTTGCAGAAAAGACATAGACATGGGCTATAGCAGCTACTGCCATCTGTGCAGATAACAAACCATAACTATGTGCATGTAGCCTATGAACAAGTCAACTTCTATAATAATGATATATGAAACAAGACTAGGATCTTTATAAGACATGTAACCAAAACTTGCTCCCGGTTCACATTAAAAAGATGAAAGATGAAAGATGTAGGTTAGTTTCGCTTAAAATCCTTAAATTGGAGGGGGGGGGGGTGCAGGATACTGGATACTTACCTCTATACAGATCAAAAAATCTTGCAAACCAGTTTGAACTATCCCGTCTTTAGGCAGAACTCCAAGTGTACACAGGAGTACAATTCCAACGCCTTGCCACCAGGTAGCAAACACAATAGCCTTGAAGCTAATGAACTTTGCAAGCGGTTTTATTGGTTTGAGTTTCTCATGAGTCACATTATAAAACTGGACCAAACAATATAATGCCCACATTTGGCTAAAGTTCATTACAATTGTAATATATGGATACCTGAAAAGGCACTGATGACTAATATCAGAGTCGAACACAATAGCAATTTGTCATCACTAATTATAAATGCTGCCCACTAATATGGCATACAACTATAACTATTCCATTGACGTGCCAAATTGTAAATTCAAATTCATTGTTATCTAGTGTAGATTTGTAACAAATGCAACTTATGAGAAAAGAAACTAAGCCTGCATTATTTAAAGTTGGATAAATCTGAACTAGAGTAGTATCATAAGCATACTGTCAACATTTCTGTATATAGTTAGCTTACCCATAATACAGCTTGAACTGACCGTCACCATATACACCGCATACCTCCAGAACAAAAGTTAGGAACGCACAAACTGTCTTCAAAATCATCTGGTTACTATGCAGATGTTAGTTTGACAATAACTTTAGCACATTTTTCAGAAACTGCAGAGATACTTACATATTGTACCAGACCAAATTTGATTATAGAAAACAATTGTTCTCCAAGTTCGGTTGGCCTTAGAAAGAAGTTACGAAATGAGGATGGACGTGACAATGCTGGTTCTGTGTCTCCTTCTTCAAGCAGTGACTTGTTAAGTACATTTCTTGATTCATCCCTCAATAGTTCTAGAACTCTTTCTTCTCCGCCTGCCATGAGATGAAATTAATACTTCAGTGCAGCACAAATGTCATTATAAAAAATATATATATATCGAAAGTTCTTGCAATCAGCTAGAGAAACCAAAGTTTTATTGTATGCTAAAGCCAGAATACTCATAAAGGAACCACAACAAGTATTTCAAAATATGTAAACAAAATTCCAGCGGCAGATTACCTCTACAAATACAACTACAAGTGAATTGCACAAAATGATAAAGGACTTGATAATACAGAGAAAGAAGCAATTTCTACAACAGAACCTTCACCTGAGAAACTCTAAGGCTCAACATAACAACTAACAGAAATATAAAGAACTGGTCCTTTCACAGTTCCCAAAAGCGAGGAAACTTGAAACTTACCGAGGCAGGAAATCAGATAGCTCCCAAAAGCGTACAATGCATACGCCTCATAGCAATTTCTCAGAATATCACAAGCTAGAGAGGTCTTAGGATTGGACAAGGATATAATCTGAGAGAGAGAAGTAATAAATCAGATGATCTGTACTTCTGTAGCAGTCACTTATAGTACACTTATACAAATTTCATTTCAGGAGTTACCTTTCGCCTTCTTATCTGGTGGAATGGAAGAATAATTGAAATTTTACAACAAAAAAACAACAGAAAAGAGGAAAAGTGCACTATAATAGACCAGAGCCTCAGAGCCTCCTGCTAGGCTGCTTACCCTCCTCCGTTACTGACTCTATAATTTCTCAGCAAACAGAAATCAGAACCTAAGAAGTACACTTACTGATTCAGTGGCGTAGATAGGAACTATGAGAAGCACAGAAACAATCCACTTTTGCTCCTGGATAGAAATTTTCATATAAAAAAAGTCATTACAGTACATTTTCAGTGAAGGCTGTGAAGTATAACAAGCGAGCTGAAGTAAACGCAGTGCAATGATACAAACTTCTAGTGAACAAGTAAATTCATTCCTATATAAGCTTCTTTATTGCACACCATAAGTTATCATTTACCAGCCTACATATTTGTATTAGATTCCTCTCAATGTTTAGCCTATTTTACTTGTTCTAGAAACTCGTTGTCCATTATCTATGGATACATTGACATTAATTTTGTATCATTTTATACACTTTATCCTTCATCAGATGTCAATGAAAATGAAAAGAACTAGCCTAAAAGATATAAAAGTAGTTATTTTAATTGCTTACACCATTTGTAGTAATCTTTTCGCGTATTTCTAGTAATGCTGCTATGATAAATTCATATAATCATATCGATCAAATTTTGAGTATCACTTATCTGTTTCAAGGCATTCAAGTTTATATCAGAAATCATACCAGCAACACAAATATACACAGATGATCACATCAAAAAAGTAAGTCATAGATGAAGCCATGAAGGCATTGAAGACTGAAGAGTGTACCGCAGGATTATTATAAGCTCTTAGATGTTGAAATATCAGAACGATGGAGAGAATTGAAGCCAGCAACGCAAAGAATCCTGCAGTGATGATTGCTGGTTTGCGGATTTCCTTGTATTCTGTCATTTCATGCTCGATTACACTGGCAAGACCGACAGGCACACCAAGAAAATGGTGGATATCTTGGCTGAACATCTCCCACATCCAACTTTTCACCACTACAAAACCTTAAAAGAAATTAACTTGTCTAAACAAAAGTTGAAAATCTAGCATAGTATCTAACTAATGAACATAAAGCTCATTGATAAAGGAAGTAATTATCAATATATATGTTATTTATCGTATTCGAGTTTGTTCCAATTGCATTACTAAATAAAATTCAAGGCCCGTCTTATGGTATCCAAATTGGAAGAGATAAATCGAACAAGTATGGCCATTGCCTATTGGGATGCTTCTTAACAACCCAATGCAACAAATTAAACACCAAGACAATTTCCTTTAGCAAGTTTTCATTTTGTACTTTCGTATACTATAGTATCACCAAGACTTGTACCATGCAAAGCTCCCTAAATCAGCAAATTTCACAAGAAAAAAAAAAAAAAAAAAAAAAAAAAAAAAAAAAAAACATCGCACAAGGTACTACCTGTTGTATAATAAAAATAACAAATTCGGTTTAACCAAGGGTACTTAGGGCCTGTTCTCATTGACTGAACTCAGCTGAACTGAATTGATCTGAGCTGAACTGAATATTTTATAAGAGAAGAAAATTAGGAGCTGAACTGAACTGATCGAATTTCAACGTAAGAGAACAAGCCCTTAAATCTGCAAAGTAACAAGGGGCATATGTAACTAGTTCTTTAATGCTACAAAATTTCCTCATTGAACGCATTTCTTTCACATATTTTCATAGCAAATATAATTTCTCATGAAAAACAAAAATAACAATAAAACCATTACAAGCAATCAACAAATTACCAGTCCAATAAAAATAAAATTATCATGTTAAACTAAGCCTCGAAGATTGGTAAGAAGCAGCACCCAATTTTTGACCAAATTCCCATAGAAAACCTTTCCAAGAAAAGTTTAGCAGCAAACTAATTAAAAAATCATTGAACCAATCAAAGATAAAATTGGTTTCATACCAAATCCACATTACAAAAATCTACTCTAATACAATTTTCATTGCACATTTATACACGAACATAATTTTACATCCTTTCATATTCTTATTCCCAAGTGCTCTACAAATCATAGAATTTTCCTCATTGAAATATCTACAAGTGTTTGAATGTAACATGACACACAATTTCACATTCTCATTCCCATAGGCACCACAAGATACACTCGGATGTATAATAGACACTTAGAGATTCGAACGAGTTAAATACATGGATTAAATGATGAGAGGAGATTCCTAACCTGGGATAACCTTCTCAGAAACAACTCTGAAACCTTATTCGATCAGTGACTGATAAGTTTGGGTCAAAAACATGAAAAACAGGCAAAATTTAATTTGTTTAGTTTAGAGACTATGAAGCGTATATATATGTTGCTGTCGTTGCATGACACGTTTCAATATACCTCTTTAAGGTTGCCTTTATGTTCTCACACGTCATTTTGCGCCATTATATGACAAATTAGGCCCCTAAATATCCGTTTTTTAGTTACACGTTTTGACTTTAATACTATTTACACATTTTTCTTTGACCATATTTTGTGATTTATATATAATGAAAAATATAGTCATTTGATGTCTTATTAGATTCGTCACGATGTATATTTTCAAAATATCAACATTTTATAACTTTTAAAAATTGGTAATTAAAGATAACAACGGTTGAATTTCTACATTGGCTAACGTGACTAGAGAAATGTGTCAACTAAAAAGAAACGGAGAAAGTACATTATTATTTTACATCTTCTATCCGAGAGTAAAACGAGTTGGGCATGGGTCGAGTGACCGAACTGGGCATGGGCGTTCCACAAGCTCGTCATGGCACAAGAGGCTCAGCTCGACGGTGGGTCATGGGTGGTGCATGAGCCATGAGCAACCTTTTCAACAATTGGCACTATAATTTACTCTACTTACTTCCTCCGTTTTTTTGTAGTTGACTCGCTTTGACTTTTACACTATTCATCAACCCATCTTTGACCGTCTTTTGTGAATTATAGGTAAAGAAAAACATATTCATGTATGATCTTGTTAGAATCGTCTAAATAAGTACTATCACAATGTATAACTTTTACTTCGTATAATTTTTTACTTATAGAGTATTAAAATTATTGATGGTTAAACTTTGACAAGCGCGATAAAAGAAACAGGTCAAGTAAAAAAGAGCAAAGGAAGTATATTTTACCAATTATCTAGTTATATGAAAATTGGTAGGGCTCGTTTGCATGACACATTGTCACATGATGGTGTTAAGGTAGTTCATCCCAAGTCCCACATGGAAGAAAGGACAATAAGTGCATACTCCAAATAATATGAGGTATTTTGAAGAGGTGTTCAAAAAACAAATCCGAATGGACTAAGCTCAAAGCGGACAATATCATACTAATGTGAAGTGGAGTAGATCAGTAGAGTGTGTATGTAACCCATCAAGGTGGGTGACCCATGCCCAACTAATGGACGTGGGCCATTTGATTTTCTGCCCATCATATTTATGATACATAATTCTGCAAAAGAATTTATTTGCGCATCTTTTGTGACATACTTCCTAAACCTAAAAATTCAACATGTACCTCTAAACTATCGGAATGTTTGCAAATTTAATTAAACTTTTTTTTTTCAATGAAAGGTGAGCCATAACATTATATACTCGTATATATTTATGTAGTTCAACCTATCATTTGCATTAGTTGAAGTTCTAAGCAAAATAATGGGTTCACTCTTTCTAAGAAAGAGGTATAGTATAGATTATAGAATAATGTTTACGTATTATGTGTACGGAGCATATAGTATTGGAAAAGTCTTTCCTTTTTTGAGATGCATGCCCATAATATAGTGAAATGGGCGGTAGGATTTTCAAATTATTAACCTAAATTTGGCGTGAGTTGTTTTGACATTACCAACTTTCTATACTTGGTAATTTCCGAGGGATAAACCTTCTAATTTTGGAAAGTATCAAATTATTTATTCTTCCTATGATTCTAAATAAGGCATGAATGATGCAAGCTAAGCTAATTTAACGTACTTATCGAGATATTTTGAGTCTTTCATTGCTTTCTTGATGGGCAAACTAAAGAGGTAGTGTTATTTTTATAGAAAATTGATCAAGATTTACCAAAGTTTTGGTTCATCTTGAGATTGCTAAAATTAGTGAGAAAAAGGAAGACAAATACTAGTATTGATAACTATGATGATACATAGGAGAATTAAAATGCAAATATTAGACTAAAATTAACATTAATTACACCGAACGACGCATGATTTGTCATGAATTCCTAACTTAATATCATTTCAACCAATATAATTTATCCTTATCTAACGCCACGGGGCGCTCGTTAGCAAGATCCTTTTAATTTTTGCTTTTTTATGTACACGAGGTTAAACAGGCTATCATTATTTGAACGTTTAATAAGATCTCAAATTTTGTATTGGTTACTTGCAATTCAAAAATTATTTCATTTTGCTTATTTAATTACTCCATATTGTTTCTAATAGTAGAATATTGTTTTGACTTTAATCCCAAATTAACCAAATGTGAGGCCAATGCAATATGAATACTCTTTAATCCCACATTAAATTCTAGAATACACAAGAGATTAGTCCAAATATGAACCATATCAATCATATAACTAATATATAAAGCTAAACTTTTAGTCAAGTGACGAGACAATGACACTTGGTGTTTCAACTTTTCACCAAGTCGCGCCACGTAGGATAGAGTTATATAGAATTCAATTTGTAGGATAAAAAAAATTAGTTTATAATTCTATTTTCAATCAAATTTTGATAGAATTTTAGGATAAAATAGTTAATTTAGAGTTTTATTGTCGATAAAGTACCAATATTTCATAAGTACAAATTGAATTATTATTTTATTCAAAAATAATTAGATTATAACTCTCATAAATTATCATATAAATTTATTTTCGTATCATAATATTTTTTAGAGAGAAGGAATTAGTTCAAAATGCACCACATCCATTATTTATAATATATTCTAATAATAACTAATATATAAAGCTAAACTTTTAGCCAAGCAACGAGACAGTGACACTTGGCGTTTCAACTTTACGCTAAGTGTCGCGCCACGTAGGATAGAGTTATATAGAATTCAATTTGTAGGATAAAAAAAATTAGTTTATAATTCTATTTTCAATCAAATTTTGATAGAATTTTAGGATAAAATTGTTAATTTAGATTTTTATTTTCGATAAAGTACCAATATTTCATATGTACAAATTGAATTATTATTTTATTAAAAAATAATTAGATTATAACTTTCATAAAATATCATATAAATTTATTTTTTGTATCATAATATTTTTTTTAGAGAGAATGAGTTAGTTCAAAATGCACCACATCCATTATTTATAATATATCCTAATCAATTTAAATAATATATACTTCACAATCTAATATAATTTTATTACTGTGTGTCAACCAGTCATTGTCAATCGCATCTGGTCACAAGTCATTTCAAACAGGGTCATTATTTCAGGTTACGGGTCAAGAAATATTTTTCACCAATATTATTATTATTATTAATCATTACATGTCTACTACATAGTTTAAATTGTCACAAAAACACATCAATTGCTAACTAATTTTGTATCAACGATATATTTTAAAATTTGACATATAGATTAAAAATTTATCTTAAAATTCAATAAACAACCCGGGCATTGCACGGGCACAAAACTAGTATATAATAATCCTCATTTTTCTTTATTTCTTCAATTCTTCATTAAAAGAGAGCTATTGATCTATCAAATTAATCCCAATAAACTTACACGTTGATACTATGTATCATATCTTTTGATAAAATATATAAATTAATCATGAGATCCAACCATCAACTTTAACTTAAGGTTAACTTGGTCATTTGATATGGTATGACAGAGACTCTATTATGTACACCAGATGTACCGAATACCCAATGTCATTTACTCATTCAACCAATAAACGAATACAAATATTATTTGCTCATTTGTTGGTAGAATGAGCAAATGACCTTTGGTGTACGGTACTACTGGATGTATATAATAAATTCTAGATATGACGGGTCTCATTCTTTATCCACACTCCATTATATTCAATGTCATTGGAATCTAGATCTTATAATGAGATATCATAATACAATATATAAAACAAAATTTTGGGTTTCAACTCTTAGTTTAAATTACTGGTTGAGTTGATCAAGATACGTAACCTTTGATCAAAAGATAGATTGGATAATGTTTAGTTATTTGTTTGTCAAATAAAATTAATAGATCCTTTTTAAAACAATAATAAAAGAATACAATGGTTATATAATGGGATTAATTTGATAGTAAATTTGTGACTAGCTCCCAAATCCAAGTCTAAACTTATCACAGAAAGACTTGCGTGGACCTGTTCTACAATAATATTATTGTGAACCCGAGATTTATACACACGCAACTGACATTATATTAAACATGGACAGCTTTCAAATGGCCACAATAAAATTGTGGCCATTGTATTATATCAAATCACAAGCGTTTATTTTTATTGACTAATGTGGACCTTTGATATGATTTATTTTTATTTTATATTTATAAAACTTTGACAAAAATTTTTTTTTAAGAAAATAATAAAAATAAAAATTTACGGTCTTATAAGTTTCTTCTTTAATTACTTCTCTTCAATCTTTGTTAGCGATCCATGTATACGTAGTATAACAATTGGCTCCAAGTCCAACCATTCAAATAGAGTTGCTTGAATTCAAGATTGCTTTAATTTTTTGCTTGATTAGAGATCTACTGGTATTGAAAGGATACAGTGGATAGTTTGGTCTTTAAAAATACTTTAACTGCAAGTAATTTAAATAGACAACTGGTTTGCAAAAGAACAATGAAGATTAAATTACTTGTATCCACTTCAAAACAAAGAAACCAATGAATAAAGATTATAGAGAAGAAACTGAAAAATAAACGTGGAAGTTTTTTATTTTTTAATTTTTTTACAAATAAAATAAAAAGTAAGCTAGATCAACGATTTACATTAGTTAATAAAAATAAACGGTTGTAATTTGATTTAATATAATAGCCACAATTTTATTGTAGCCACTCAAAAGTCATCCTTGAACATAATGACCCTTATTTTTAACATAGTAACCTTATTTTATAGATAATAACCTTTATTAAAACTTGTATAGTTGTATAACGTTTAATATTATTGTGAATTTGAATACAGTGTTATGACCCTAATTTGAACATAGTGACCTTTATGATTCATATTAACCAGTATATAAATATTTCAGTAAAAAAAATAACCTCATATAGCCTATATATTACCAAATGACTTTTATTTCAACATAGTGACCTTGTTTTTATTATAGTGACTTTTTTTATTAATAAAATAACCATATTTTCTATAATACTAGTGATCCACAATAAATTAGTTTGAACTAGTTTCATTTAATAATTTGTGAGATTATCAATGGCACCATGCTTCATATCCTAGGATTTAACTTAGTTTTAATATGGAATTGTATTCTATAGATAGAGTAGCCATTCAAATGGCAACATACTTGCAAGATCAAATCACTGAACTATCACGTACAGTTACAAACATTTAAAAAATTAGGGAGACAATAAAAATTGTGCATCCATTATAAAGTTGCTCTTAAATAATTAAAAATTACCCACAATAAATAAAAGTTACCCTATATAACTAAATGTTAGAGATACTTTATTTAAATGTCCAATATTTATATTTATAGATGATATACATAGGTGAATGAAGTGTGTAGAAACTTCTACATATTTGCTCTTTAAAATTGTAACATAAATCTAGAATCTCATTAGCATTCTAGAATCTTCCACAAATTTCCGCCATTTCTCAACGTGGTAATATTTTCTAGAAATCTTGAGATGTAATTATTTTTTTTTTTTTTGAAGAATTGAGATGTAATTAGTTAGACTTAGGGCCTGTTCTCTTATGTTGAAGTTCAATTCAGCTGAGTTCAGTCAATGAGAACAAACCCTTATAGAATTTGGGTCACACTAACCTAACAACTTCTTATTCATACACCTGTGTATTTTGTTAAAATAATCCTTAAAATCTTGTGCATACCATAGTTTTAATTAGTCAAATGTTAGTGGAATCATTAGCAACAGTAAAAACTTGTCAAGTATAATTTCAAAAGTACAATTGAAACATATTTTTAAGTGGATCAATGTTATTAATCATTTAATTATGTTATAAAAATTCTTTTGATAATTGGAATTGTAAAACTAATGTTATTAGTCAATTGACCAATTGTATCAGCATAAAGTGAAACATTTGCGTAAAGACACACCCTAATCCCATGAATCAACGTGGTTAAAAACCTGAGTAACACTGTAGATTGTACAGTAAAAAAATTAATTAATGAAAAATGTTAAAAATAGAAAATAAAATGAAGAAATTAGGGAATAAAGTAGGGTAGTTGTTTCTAAATTTGTATTGAATAGACAGACAACCTAACAAATTGTACGGCAAGATAAATCTTGGACACACGTGTTGATTTGATATCATGATTAAGAATCCATCAACAGTACTGTCGTTTAACACCTGGATTTGCTGATGTCATTTATTAATTTTTTAATCCTCCAATAGTATGGTTAGACTGTTTCTTGGCCTTCTTTGTCTAGACTACAGGATGAACACCATGTGATTTTACACCAATTCCTCTAATTATTTTCACTTATTAAGGAAATTATTGTTTCTATTTTTTTTTAATATTACAAAAAAATATTAAAAATTTACTACTTTCTCTATTTTATGTTTTTTTGCAACTTTGAGCATTATTTGTGAGATATAAAATATTCCAAAGTTGCAAAAAATGAAACGGAGGTAGTGTTTTGTTCGTGTCAAAACCATATGTCTGTTTTTTACAGTATTTTGCATTGAAATTAAGATAAGTAGATGGAATTTAAAATTATGTGTAAAATAATTGAGAATGTTAGGGTCTATTTGGCATAATTGTGGTTTTCTGTTTTTTCATTTTTTTAATTTTCAAAATCATATGATACATGTCATATAATGAATAAAATATTAGTCAAACTTATTAAAATCATGATAATTATAAAAATTGACAATAAAAAAAGTGTAAACACCTTTTTCTTGTTTCCTGTTTTTTGACATACCGAACAAGCTCTTAAAGTTTTTGAATTTTAATTAGTTTCTCAGTGGGAACCAACTTTGAAAGGTACTTAAGGGTATTTAGTATGTAAAATCACCTTTTTTTTTTATTTTTTAAATCTTTATTTTTTTAAAAAATCTTTATTTTAATCAAGAAAGTGCAAAATTGTATTATATATTATTTCATCCAAAGTACCTCTCGATTTATCCATGGATTGATGCATGTGGATAAAGGTAAATTAAGTGATAGATGGATTGGGTGATGGATGGATCTTTGGTGGATGGAGGCGGATAAAACATTACCGACCCACCTCTCATCCATTGCCATCCCTACTCATACCAAACCTCTGGATTCCAAATGAAAGGAAAAAAAAAAACATTCTCGAATAATAACCAAACACAAGGTATTAAAAATCAAGTTTCACGCCCTACACCACCTTAGTGTCATTCGTGATTCCAAACTCATACCATCATGTGAACCATACACCCTCTTAGAAGATTTTTGTGTAAGAAATTAATTAAAAGTTAAATAAATACTCCCTGTCCCTATTTTTTTGCCCCATTTGACTGTGCACGATCTACAAGACGCGTATTAAAACGTCTATATCTTTATTTCCTTACACGTAAAAATTATAAAAAATATAATATTTAATAAAATTACATTGAGACAAATTTAACAAGACTATTCATGACTATATAATCTTTTATAAATTAGCAGTAATAATTAATGGTCAAAGTTTTTAAAGTTTGACCTTAAAATTAAATGGAAATGGAGCAAAAGTAAAGGGACGTAGGGAGTAATAGAGAAGAAATAAAGTACCTCTAATGTAGCAATCACAAGCTAGATCAATTGATGTAACAATCCATGAAGTTGTCAAAGAGAAATAATAGGGCTAAAAGAGAAAAGTAATTATAACTAATGTAACAAATAATTCCTTCTTTTTTGTGAATTTTACTCATGTTTCGTTTTCATCTGTTTTTTTAAGTCATGTTCACCTTTATTCATTTTTTATTATCTAATTAGAGCTAGACCTAATCAAATCTAGTCCGTTCCGGCCTGTAAAAGGATGGTTTAGTTAGCTTTTTTGGGACTATATTCCGTGCTCAACTCGACTGCTTTTCCAAGGTTATGGGCAGAACAAAAAAAATAATTTTAGTTATCATCTATATGTAGTTTGTTGTCTATGTTCTACACAAATAAAAAACAAACCACCTTCTAATCCATAACTATCTATCACACACAAATCACCACCCAATTGAGAATCGTAACCAAACATGAATTTTCGTTATTTGATCACATTAAATAAAGTGTCTTCATCCAATTACACTTTTAAAAATCATTAATCAAACAATGCTACTCCCTCCGTCCCTAAATTACATTCCTCTTTCTCTCTATTATGTGAGGAATAAATGCTAGAAAGAGGAATCTAATTTAGGGACGGAGGGAGTATCATCTATCAGTAAAATAAAGTCAACAATAACACTCGTAAGATGAATTGACATCTCACTCTACTAGCTAGCTATTCACAAATTTATATAATTAAAGTTTCCTGGACCCTTGGATATAATTGACCACAATAGTATATTATTATATGTATGAACATTACATTCTTGTCTTGATCATAGACAAGATCATATAAATGATGGAGTAGGAAAATGCATAGAAAGCAAGGTGTAGCACACAATTATTGAGCATTTTTGGTGGACAACTTAGGGTTGTTTTCATGATAATTGAGCATGGGGCATGCACCCCCCAAATTAGAAGTCCCATGAGCTGTGAAATAGTACACACCCCCACTTCCTTTATTTCTGTCCATACCATAAACATTAGGGTTACCTCATCTTGTTCATCAAAATTAATCAAATTCCCTCAAAAATATTCTCCTTAGTTTGCAAACTCTTTCTGTTTGTCTTCATACTATGAGCAAGATATTGTTTTTTGAACAAAAAGTTGAAGTTTTGGATCGGAAACTAGCAAGAAACTCTGTGGAAGTAAATGCTTAGTAGCTAGCTTATGTTTATTGTCTATGCAAAGTGGATTGTGAATGCATGGGTTCAAATAGTAAGGTAATAATAATTTAATTAGTTTTTTTTTTTCAAATACTTTTTTATATTGGAAATGTAAGATTGATTTTTTCTAATGGTAAAGATTGCATGCATTAGGTTTGGTAGTTATAAAAGCAAGGACTACTAGCTAGTAAGGATCTGTTTTGTTTATCTTATTTTCACTTAGCTTATTTATTTCGGTCTTTCAGGTCTAATAAGCTCAACTAAGTTCATATAAGTCTAGTTGAGGAAAAATAAAGTAAGTGTTAGTAAGGGCTATCAAGTTCAAATTACAACTAAACTATTTAGTTTTAATAAGTTCACATAAGTTTATATAGGTAAGTTCAGATAAGATAAGATAAGTTTAGATAAGTGAAAATTAGGTGATAGAACACACCCTTAATATATAGCCAAAATATAATTTAAAACGAGAGAGATTAGACTATTAATGCTTAAATGTATACATGTGACAAAGGGCTTGAATTAAACTTGCTAATGAACATTGGCTCAATCCCTCATAATTAAGGATATGACATATATTTAATAATTTTGCCATAGCTCATTCATTTTAAGATGCCGGCATCCAATTTCAAGATCCAAAATTATATTATTATGTATCTCTAGCAAAAAATATGATAGTTATGATCAATCAATTATGATTGAGAATTTTATCAAAAATAGGAATTAGGGTTTTTGCGTACAGGAGAATAGAAATAGCAAAAAAAATCAAAGAAGATGGTAAATGGTAAGCTAAGGGATCATATCCCAAACTTTATTTAAACTTTTACTCCTTATATCTCAAGTTACTTATATTAGTTTAGATGGTGATTTGATTGACTATTAAAAATTAGATACAAATAGAATAATATATTATGTTATATGTTGACAAGTTTATAAGTGGTTATAGAATACAAGGGGCCGGGCTTATCACAATACAACCAATCCAATGTTGTAAAAATGGTGGTAATTAATTAAAAACTTATAATAATTGGAAAATGAAATACCATAAGGATCATGTAGACGATTGAGGTGATCAAATACTAGTAATTTTCTTGTATTTTATTTTTTTAGGTGAGACAATTGAGATGGAACTAGTTAAATTAATTAAGATATTAAGATATATTCCTCCAAAAAAAAAGATATTTCTTTACAAAAAAAATGATATTATGATAATTAATTAAAGAAAGAGTTTAGAGAAAGCTGGAAAGCGACAAAATGCATGACATGGGAACTTGAACCAAATTAGCAACTAGTGATTTGGCTATGGAATTTTCCCATGAAAGCTCACTTCTATATAATGTTGTCCTACTTATTTAGCTCACATTGGCTTAACAAAACTCTATATTTATTTTCAAACACTTTTTTCTTTTGTAAGCCTACTTTCAACTATATATTTCTTATTGCTTCAATTCAAGAATATCATTTGTCCTAATAATAATGAAGGTATGTTGTTAAAATATTTATAAATTTAAATGCATGTACCAAATTTTGGAATGTTGAATTAATTTTATATATTGTGTGTAGATTTTATTCTTATAAATCAGTATTTTTGTTTGTGTTGTTGTTTTACTTGTTTATGTAGCTTTTCGGCTGGATGCATGGCAAGTTCAATGGAAGATCACAAAGCAACAATACTAGTAATACAAAGGTTCATGCATCTAACAAAAGTGAGTTCCTCCACCCCTGGATATATCTAGTGTATCTGTTGTATATATCTTATGTGGATCAAGTTACGAGTAATCAATTTTTAGCTTTTGATCAAGGCGTGTCTAATAATTTAATCTATTAAACCCATCATATTTCAGGGGTTCTGAGAGAGTTGCATTGCTGACATGCGTTGACATATACATCTGATCTATAAGAAATTTACAAGATTTTTGTACAAACATATCCATTTTATTTATTTATTTTTTCTATTTTTTTCCCTGGTACAGTAGTGTTGGGCAATGTAGATAGTTAAGGTGGTCCTAGATTTAATTTCATGTCCTAATCCTTGTTTAATTACATGTACTTTTCTAGTAGTATATAGTTAGATCTTTTGCCATGTTTTTGGGAAAAATACTTCACTAACCAATTATATTGTCCCATTTCTATAGATCAAACTCCACGATTAGGAGCTCAAAAAGAGGAGTTTAGTGATTGGCCTCAAGGATTTCTATCAATTGGTACACTTTTTAATAAATCATCAAAAGATGATAATGTTAAAGAGAATTCTCCTTCATCTCAAAACCCTATTCTTGACTTCACATTGGAAGAGGTTAAAGAGCTTCAAAAGGAGTTGAACGCGTTAATGTCCTCAAATGATCTCAATTGTTTATCTAGTTTAGATGCTAATAGAAAAGAGGACGACGAAGATGAGGACGAAGACAAACCGGACTATGAACATGATGATACAATGGTCGTGTCTAACAACAATAAAGCCAAAGATGTGTACATAGACAACAATGGTAGTAAACTTATTGGTAAAAAGTCATTGACATTCCTCCTTAAGAAGGCGTTCATTTGTGGTGTTGGAGGGATGGGTCCAACACGTAGTCTAAAAGATCCAACTCTTATGGTCCCTAAGTCGAGAATTAGTAAGGTAACCATACACAACACTTTTATTATTTATTCTATAATCTGTCAATTAAAAAATATCAATGTATTATTACTTGTCAGTTTAAACTATTTTATAAAAAGTAAAATACGTTTATGTGACTAGGGATTTATGAATAATGATTGTTCGATAAATCTTGTAGATCTTGAGAGCAATGCTTCGAAAGAAGATATATCCTCAAAGCTCTTGTCCAAATATGTCAAAAAAGAGGTATTTGGGGAATTTACAAACAGAAAGTAGCAACTATGATGAAGAAGAAGAAGAAGATGAACTTGACATCGAAAGAGAGAACAGAATCAAGTGGGACAAAAGTGATACAGAATGTAAGTGTTGCTAAATACTCCGTATAATTACATTAATGTATCTAGTAAGATTTTAGATTTTACATATGATTAAGATAATAAAAAGGCTTTTATTCTTTTTTTTTCTCTCAATGATGTAAGGTCTTGTTCACTTCACCTTAAATAAATAATGTTCGGTAAAAATAATTTTAGTTCAGTAAAAATAAGTTTCGTTCAACAAAAATAATTATCTTAGTTCGGTAAAAAGAATTTCATTTTAATAAAAATAATTATAGTTCAACAAAAATAATTTCAGTTTAGTAAAAAGAATTTCAATTCAGCAAAAATAAGATGAATAGAACAAGGCCTAAGCCCTAATACATAAAATTGAAAAATGACATATGTAGGTCATAAGAATCCTAAAAAATTGAAATATAATTAAGTTAAATTGAATATTACGGAGTAGCTACATTAATTTATGAGGAACTTTGTCATATTTTCAAATTAATGCTAATTTAGAAAATGCATTAAATGCTTATATGAAGCCCTTAAATGTATTTTATTCCTCCGTATATTTTTGGCTTTTAAAAATCCTTATCACAAGTTAACAGGGGTGTTTTAGCCAATTAATATCACCTTTATATTGATTAAAGGGTTACTTGACCAGTACATTACAACTTTACATGCTTCAAACTTTTTGCAAAAGATGAATGATACACCACTCATATATATAGTCACAATAATTTTAAATGCACTAATTGGAATTCAATTTATAAATTTTCTGTTTATTTATGGACAAAATAGGTATTTTACTTTATACTTCCTTGCTTTAATTTGCCTTAGATTTATGAACAAAAGCAAATGATTACAATATGTGACCATGACTGGATTTTTCTCTTTGTTGCAGTTATTGTTCTAGAAATTTAACCTATTCATATTATGAAAGGCGATTCTTACGTTTTCAACGAATCAATTGATTCTATTCGAAGAGACCTTATACCAAAAGAAAATGCAACATCTTTTGGTTCTTTCATTCATATGCAAAGATGAAATTTGGTCATTTTATCTTGGATTATGAAGCATCATTTTGACCATGCATGGGATTGATATATATATGTACAAGAAGGTTCTTTATCTTTTCGTTTTTTTGGAGGACGGGGGTTGTTCAAGAGCAAATAAGGAGTATTCGTGTATATGAATTATTATTAAACTCGATCTATTCTTATCAAATATTACATGAGAAATTGAGTATTGCAAAATAATGCAAACAATTGTATTTCTAAACTTGAATGAGTTGAACCTCTCAAGGTAATAATAACTAGTACGTAGTGTAATGATTGAGTAGTGACTAATTCTAAATTGTTAGGTTAAATCATTTTGATTAAAAAATAATAATTATCGTGTAACACAAAATTGACCATAGTCAAATTTGAACAAAAAGTCCTATAGATTAGTACAACATTCAATCTAAGCTTCCTTCACACTAAATGAGGTTATATCAATTGACCTTAATTTTTTCACGTTAATTGAGGTTGAACTTATTTAGCTACGTTGATGAAGACTGAATTCACTTCAAAGTTATGAGTGAGCTAAGCTTCTCCATTCATTGGTTATGGATCAAGCAAATTGAAAAGAGTATCATAATTTTGTTAGTAAAAATGTCTCATATTACTCGTTTAGACTTAGTATAATATGTATGGAATTAAAATTGAATGTTAAAGATAAATTGAGAAGCGTAACACAAATTGTCGTTGTATGTAAGATTTCTAATGCCTAATGATAATGATCCGATCATTTGTACATTTTATTCCATCTCCTTTTTATCTCTCTCACCCCACCCCATCACTACTGTTTCGGGGTTTTCTGATGTCCTGCGGGAGACTTACAATTCCGAGACTGGAACCGGACGCCTGTACCTGCAAAACAAACGGATGCTCCGGATGATTGGAGATCCGCCTCCGACGGTCAAGTTAGTACTTGATTAAGGAGTAATTAATGCGGAAATTAAAGTGATTGGGTCTCTCTAGGTGAGAGTGTTTAATGTGTGTAATCTGCGTCCTCCCCCTTAATGAGGATTAAGGGAGGTATTTATAACCTCGGGAAACGTGCCAATCTAGGTTTAGGTTAACCTTGGGCTGATTGGGCTTCCCTCGGAAGTTGGGCCTAGGTGACCGGCTTCTCCATTAGGCATGGAGTATGCCACGTGTCATGACATAATAAGTCCAGGATGGACGAATAAGCGTGTGCCACGTGGCAAGCCCTGAGAGGTCCAACTGGGGGACACTTGGCAGGACCTGATTGGCCCACGTGGCGCATTCCGATTGGTGGGAGCAAAATCCCCTAATCATTTGCCCCTCACAGGTGGCACGTGACTGGTCACGTGTTACCTGTGACAGGTATCGCCCTGTAACAGGCGACGACCTGCTACAAGTGTCACTCGGCGAGAGGCCGAGAGATTCTCCCGCCAAAATTTGGAATTCTGGAAGTGACCCTTCGCCTTCTCACTTCGCCTATATAAAGGAGTGTTGACTTCGGTCATTTTCACACTTGAAAACTTTGCGAGAGAACATTCGGACCCCTGAACTTGCTCTGACATTTTGGACCCTTTCTGCCTACCGCCTGCTCTGACAAGCCGATTGCAAAGGATTTTCAGAACTTCATCAATCGTCACTCGTTCAGGTAACCGTCGGTTCTCTTACTCTTAATTTTCTCTTTACTTTATTCTTTTTTGAAATGGCACCACGGAAGCACACGACCCAACCTAGGTTAGTGATCAGCCGGTCACCGGGGATGGCTGAATCTAGGACTAGGAGTGCCGCCTGCCCTTTTCTGGACCCATCTTTGCCCTTTATACAAAGTCCGACTGTATCTGTGTCTATGCAGAGCATGATGGCCAGAACAAAAAAGACTGCCAGGATCTCAAACTCAGACGGCTCCTCCCACAGGGTGTCGATTAGTGAAACATCTGACCAGGCGCCAGATGTGGAAGTGAAACAAAGCAGCTTGAAAGCCGGCAGTTCTGAGGGAGGAGTCAAAGTGACCCCTTCCCATTTTACAGTTGACAATTCTACATTCTCTCCTGCTCCTTTGAAAGGAGAGGAGGCGGGCCCCTCCGGGAGAGGAGAGGAGTCGTTCTCTTCGGACTCGTCAGAGGACGAATCCGAGTCTAGCTCTTCTGGCCATGCTTCTCTGGACACAGAAGAGAAAAACAGTCGCCTACAAGAGGCGAGGCTTTCTCACGCAGTTGAGAAGGGGGACGATTGGGCGGAGCCATCCGCCTCTCACCGAGAGCAAAATACCCCCTACTACTGCACGGTACCTCGGGGCCGGATCACGGCCATGCAAGAGAAAGTGGGGAGCTTTATCGCAAACCACACAATGGGCCCCGGCTTTTTAGTGTTCGTGCCAGATCCAGAGGACACGGTCGTCTGGCCGGCTGGTACCAGTTATGATGGCGCCTGCTTTGGCTGCTACGAGGCGGCCATTAAGGCTGGGCTGCGCTTCCCACTACATCCGGCTGTTCAGCGGATCTTGGATGGGTATGAGTTGGGGTTATGGCAGTTAGCCCCGAACTCCTGGGTCAACGTACTCGGCTATGTGGCCGGGTGCGAACTGCACGGGGTGGAGCCGAACTTCGAGGCTTTCGCCCACATGAACTACCTCAGCCGGACCCCTAAGGCAGGCGGTACCGGCTGGTATCAATTGACGAGCCACAGGGGCTACCTCATGACGAGAGGTAAAGCAAACAAATGGAAGGTCTGGCGGAGCACCTTCCTTATCATTGAGAGTTCAGACACAGAGCTGAACAAGCGCTTCAACAGGTGGAACAAGAATCCGCCTCTTCTTGCAGGCGGCCGCAGCATGCCGCCTGTTCCCCCAAGGCTAAGAAAGAGATCCTAGATAAAGGACTCTTTAAAGTAGAGTCGAAGGTGAACTCTACTTCAGGGGTACGAGAGCAAGTACCCCTGCACTGCGTCCCGAGCTTCAAATGGCTCTACGACGAGTAATTTTTGGCCGCATGTGGCCTCAGCAGTCGGTGCTCAAGAAGTAGCCGGCCTGTCGAATACTCTGTTGTTCCGTGCATTTCTTGTTATGACTTTTATTAACTTTGCTATTTGTTTTTGCAGCGGACGCCATGAGCAAAATTACCGCCTCCAAGACTGCGGCGGCCATGTTGCGGGCCTCCATCATGTAACAGTCTTCAACCGACTCCCCCAACAAGGGGGCACCCTTGGTGGGCTTCGAACCTTTCACCCTCTTTTTGGAGTTGTGTTTATGCATATACTGACTCTTTTCTTCTTTTTTAGACGGGCGCTCCAAGAGCTTCTTCTTCCCAACAGCCGGACCCCAAGGCCCGGAGGACGACTGTTGCGAGCTCTCCTGGTTCTGCCAGGAAACATGCGGCGGCTGAGAAACAGCCGGCCACTTCTTCAAAAACTCCACCTGGGCCACCTAGAAGTATGAAATTGTCCTTGTAAATTTTAGACTTGCTCCCTCCTTTACTAGGTCTAATCCGTTTGTTTATGCTTGATGCAGCCGGCCCTCAGGAGCCTGACTTGGTCGAAGTGGCCAAGTCTATGATCAAGGCCGTACCTCCAGCTGAAAGGGAGGCGGTCAGGGGTGTCGGCACCCTTGACCTAGACGGGATTGCAGGGGTCCTTGCTGAGGTATACTTAGCATATTTTTGAGTATTTGAATTCCAGGACGCCTGTTTTCTTTTTTGTTTGGAAATTGACGCATGTTCCCCTTTTTACTTAGGCCCTGCTCCGAGTGAACGGCCTTCGCAAGCCGCTTGACCGGAAGAACAAAGAGGTAAAGGCTGCAAAAGCTATGGTCGCCTCTGACTGTGATAAGGCAATGTTTCAAATTGCCCAAAATGAAGTTCTGACAATTGATATTCTTTATTATCAGGCGCAGGCTACCGCCGCTATCCGGGCTCAGTTAGAGGCGGCCCAGAAGAGGAATAGCGAGCTGGAGGCGACCATCAACAACCTCAAGACCGAGCTGAGACCTCTTCGCCAAAAGATGTCCTCATACGAAACCTTGGAGAAATCCTTGGCGAGCGTAAAGGAACGCCTGGTGACCCAGGAGAAGAGTCTTACTCAGGAGCTCTCGGAAAAGGTCGAGCAAGAAAAGAAAGAGCTGGTCCGGGAGATGATGGAAGACTCTGCTCAAATCCAACGCATGACTTGGGGCCGCCTCTTCCCCAATGCCGACTTTGCCTCCTGGGAAAAAACGTACCGCCAGTGTTCTGATAGATATAATCAAGAGATCCTGGCGGCTGCTAAGGAAGAGGCGCTGGAGGAGGAGGAGCAGCCGGTAGTGGCGCTTGTGCCGCTTGGGGGTAATACATCGAAGAAGGATGCAGCTGAAGCCAAGTCCAGCAAAAAGAGTGCTGACCAGGCGGCAGCTGCTAATATTGAAGATCTGCCCCCTTCATAAGCTTTATGTCTTCTTTCCCCGGCCTGCGTGCCGTTTGTTTGTATTTACCCGGCCAGGGGACCGGGGCTCTGAATATTTTGCCGGTCTTTAATGACCGGCTTCCTTTTAATGAATATTTTTGTTTTGCTTCAAATTTGTTCAAGTATTGAATATTCTGATATCCAATTGTACATTATACCGATTGTTTTACATGGCCGATAGTTGCAGACAGGTACGGATAGTTAGTCACGCCGCCTATGCCCCTGGACGACTGGTTGTCTGTTTCCAGGCTAGACGATCAGTCGGCCATTTATCCAATCGGTATTCGAACCATTTTAAAGACTGGATCCCCTTTAGGCAGGCGGTTCTGTCATTTGTAAAATTAACCAAGTAGGAAAGTGGTTTCCTACTTGTCATGTTTTTAGGCTAGAGACTTTAGGCCGTCTAGGCCGACTGTTCCCCGCCATATTTAATCTAGTGTGAACAGGTGCTGTATGAACACCTTTTTAGTTTCATACTAAATTTTTAAGGAGTGACCAAGTAAACATGATTGTTACCTAGTCGCCAAGTAACTGAGTAGTAGAGGTATCAAGCGGTGGGTACCGGTTGTTCCCCTTTATTCGCCAATGTTTGTTGGCTTTTAACTCATAGGTTGTTAACCTAGCAGGAGTAGTGGTTGAGAGCCCGTGTTTGCTAAAAACAGGCGGACGACTCATACCTTTTAGGCTCCATACTAAGTTTGAGAGAGTGACTATGAGTTAACTTTGTTGTTACTCAGTCGCCGTCACTCCTGCTTGAGTAGTAAAGGTACCAGGCGGCGGAGGCCGGCTGAACCTTTTGATTCGCCAATGTTTGTTGGCTATTAACTCAAGAGGTACCCCCTGCATTTATCCCAAGTAATACAGGCGGTCATCTGACTCAGATGTCAACT